ATCTGATTCAGAATTGATTTTAAGATTCTAATCCTTGTATTCAAAACAATCTATGGTCTTGCACCGACTGAAATATATTAGCAAATTAGTTGCTGCATGTAGAGGGAAAGTCTGAGCTAGAGTAGAACCTGCAGTCAAATTCTGAATTCCCATTGCAACCAATTGATAGAATTACTACACTACTCTAGGTGATCGTACTTTTTTAGTTGCAGCTGTTAATCTTTGGAATGCATTGCTAATTGACATTCGCCAAGAGGATTATTGCTTATTAAAAGTCCTAAAGCATTTTGCAAGTCAAGATTGTCTTGTGTCACAATTGCAGTGCTCACTATATAATCTCTGAAACCTATTGTACATAAGGAAGTTTTATATTTGACTTGCACATTGCTGCCAGGAAGAGAAATACTGTATAAAATTAATATTAATTAATATTAAAATTATGAATCAAATCTGTTGCTGCTTTGATATAACTTTATAGAAACTGAGTCAGTTATTTCCTTGTTTAGGTTTGTGGTGAGTTTTCAAACAATGGAGAACCAACTAAGAAATTTGTTCAAACATTTGTTCTTGTTCCTGAGGTTTGTTTTACATTAATTTGTTTCCAAATGAATATAGTTTTACTGTTTTATTAATTATCTAATTAGTATTGAATCCCCTATGTGCTACAAAATTAATATAGCATGCTGGATAATGACTTTCATTTTTCAAGGCTTTTGGAGTATTTCAATATTGATGGTTGAATGGTTCAACTCCATCAAATTTTCATAATTCTGTAGTTTCATATAGAGCACTTTTCAGGGCATTTTTAAATTAATTAACAAATGCTATAAAATGAATATGAGTATTGAATAAAAAGTAACAGCCAACCTAGCTTTGTTCCTACCCATTTATATACTCTCATAGAAGTTGCCTCACCACATCTTTTCCAATATTTTAGGGATTGAAGAAATATCACGTCCACAATGATATTTTTCGATATCAAGAGGAACGATTTCCTGATGAAGTGAGTGATGAAACAGGTGATGTAACAAACGGTAAGAACCTGAATAATATCAGACAAATTTAAAAACATACAGTAAAATATAATTTAATATGGTTAAACATATATTTAAGTGAAATTCACAGCAGATGTATCGTATCAGGGAGTCTCTAATGTTATGTAAGATCAGGAGTACTTTGTACTTGCAGTTTGTACCCAGGGCCAGGCTTTTAGCCAGAAGGGCATCCAGGCGTCCTGGGACGCCCCTACATAGAACGAAAAATGGATGCCTTTGGACGCCCAAATTCCATGGGAAAAGGGAAATTATTTTCAATTATTTCCCTAAGTATATTAATATATCTGAAACGAAATAGCTTCAATTCTCATTAAAGAAGTTAAGTAAAGAAGCATAGCAGCACAAACTCACAAAGCCAAGTGTTTTGAAAAATTTCAAACGAGCTTGGAACAGATACTGACATGAAGTAACTAAAATTCAAAGGTTTTCCAGAGGAACGTTTTTTCGAAACCCCCTCTTGTAGATGTATTGTCGTACCAAAATTGGATACCCTCTTTCAGGACCCTGGCTAAAAGCCTGCCCAGGGCTGCACCCACTGTATATCACCAAAAATCAGATGCTCTGCTGCTGATAACAGTAATAAAACCAGAGAAAGTGTCTTATTTCTAGTTTCACTGTTAGTGATTGACCGATAATTGGTATCGGCATTGGGCCGATTTTGCCTTATCGGTAGACAATCGCAATCGATATAATTTTTTATATTTCAGATTGTCTAAAACCGATTGTTGAGAAAATACGCACTTTAAAAATTATATACATTACACGTTGATACACGTTGCGTTTCAATGCAATATGCTGAATTAATGTGTGAAGCGTGCCATTTATTAACGGTTTTAACAATCTTTGGTTGCAGTAACATGTTACATTGGAAATTATTGTTGAAAAATTGACATGAATGACGTCGTCTTTACTCGGTCGACTGATATTATGACGATAATGATAAAATCGGTATTTTATAATGATAAAATCGGTATCTGGCAAATTGTGGCATGAATAATTTGCAATTTCCGATTGTTGCACAATTGGTCAATCAACGGTTTCGTGGTAACGCTGCTTTTTTAGAATTTCAAGCACTTAAATTTTAGATAATAATGTAATCCAAAAACATTTGCAATAAAGTATACATTGCATCGCATTACATTATATTACGTTACGTTACATTACATTACTGTACATAATATTAGTCATTACATTACATTATTACATTAATTTAATAAAGTACAGCACAGTTAAACTAAATTCTTTGCACACTGCTAGAACCCAGCAGATACACAATGAAAGTTGGGCGTACATGTTGTGCTAAATTAACTCAAGATTTCGCTAACACCATCAGATGTAGTTTGATAGTACATCAATGAATGGAGTTTGATAGTAGAACTTGGAACATTTTTCTCGTTTATTTTATAGTTTTTATACATGTGATGCTGTGCATTGTAACTTAATTTGTGGAAGAAAATGATTTATTTTCCAAGGGGCCAAACCCTTTAACCTATTATCCAATACTATTGTAAGCATAAATAACCAAAGTTAGATGAGAAATACAAGACATTTTTAAATCATAACTTATTGTATTTCGTAAACTCTTTACAGGTAAACTACGTGAAGCGTTCCTCTTTGGAGTTTCTAAATTGATTGCAATTTTCCTCATTACTTTTGCAATTTAAGAAACTCCCTTGCAAATCCCTTGAGGAAATTTGCAATGTTGCCAAAAGCCATTTAAATTTTCCTCAGTTCCTGTTAGAAGTTCCTAACTTCCTGTTAAAAGTTCCTAACTTCCTGTTCTGTTCTGTTCTGTTCTACGCGTTGCAATTGGCTAACAAAAATAATCGACCAATAACAACGCTCAGAACAGTACAGGAAGTTAGGAAATTAAAACAGGAAGTTAGGAAAATTTAAAATGAAGTTTGTTGGATTGGAATATTACAACTGCCGATAGGAACATTGCAAATTCCCTCAAGGGATTTGCAAAGAGTTTTTCAAATTTGCAAACCTAATGAGGAACATTCCAAATGAGTTACGAAGTCAAAAGAGGAACGCTTCACGTAGTTTACCTGTAAATCTTTCCAAAGTGTTATATACTTACTAGAGGTGTGCATCGGATCGGATTGGACGTTTATAATCCGACAATTGCCTAATGTTTAAGATCCGATCCGAAATTGTCTAATCCGGATCCGATCTTTCTCATTCAAGTTGAAGTATTTAACCAAATAAATATAAAAGCAAGAAATACATGTCAAGAAGCTGACAAAGTGACGTCCAATTGAAGTATCAAACGAATAATGCTTTGATAAATGCATGGATAATTAATTCTTGCGATAATGCGTGAATAATTCATTCATTTTATTTCGGATATCGAAGTCCGATCCGACTACGAAACAACAACTTTATCAATCCGATCCGAAATTAATATTTGGTTCCGAAATTAATATTTGGTTCCGAAATCCGAACGGATCGGATCGGTTTCGGATCGGATTTGCACACCTCTAATACTTACCAAATAGATAAGATTTTGCCGTTGTCTGTTCAGTTATAGATACAGTATGACGTCATAATGTGGAAAGAAAAAAGTGGTCACGAGGCGAGTGGGTCACTCTTTTGTTCTTCCCACATTATGACGTCATGGTGTGTATCTAAACTGAACAGACGACGGCAAAATCGTATCTATTTGTTTTATATAATAAAAAGAAAAAGCTCGAATTAAACAGGTAAATTTTACAAATACGATGCGTACATGATCTATACAAATAAATAAGGGAAAGCTATTGGCTACCTTAATTGTGACGGAATTACGTGCGTCTGTCCTCTAATAGATCATGGCTCTTGGCCAATGAAAGCGCTTGAACTCAAAAAGTTATTATGTAGACAGTTTGAATTCCTATAGCGTTCTTCATAATGTTTTATGACTTTAATTACTTTGTTACTTTTTTATATTTTATCATTTTAAACTGATATACAAGTCCTCTGCTGAAATCAGTACTTTATATATATGGAAGTAGACCTATTATGAATATTTATAATAATTTGCCTGTGTATAAATTATGTCGTCAATTCTCTGCTTACCCCCTGACAGTTATTCATTTCAGGCATGCTTCAGGGGGTGGGGTTATTGGAATGGGGAACCTAATAGGGAAAATGCTATTTTGTTACGTTTGTTCTTTTCAGAGTCTGAAGTTGATGATGAAGTAATTGATGAACGACCTTTGGAAAACAAATCAGACAACTTTAACAACCTGGTGAATCATGTCAATGAACAAACTGCAGCTGTTAGTTTTTCTGATGAGAATGGGCAAAAAGTCAGGTAGCTACAATGAAAAAATATAAACAGTTTAAGAATGAATGTACAAATAATATTTTAATTGATAAGTTAACCTAACGAAATGTAATGGTGGCTTGAAGCTCGCCAGGCATCTCACTTCGTATAAAACTTGTAGACTATGTACAACAGAGCTGGGTTTATAAATAAATTAAACAGTGTTTGTGATATTTTCAGTCCTATGACAAATGGATCAAGCGATACGGATACCGAGGTGGAGAATGACGAAAAACTTGTTGAAGCAGAACTTGAAGAGGTTGTTGTTGAGAAACCTGTAAGTACAAATTCTTATCCTATTGTTAGAGAATGCATAGACTTTTCATCCTTACCGGGTGCAAGATGGATATCAAAGGGATATCAGATACATGCGCTAGGATAAGAATCGTATACGACTAGTCGTATCATATAAATGGGCCTATATACGCAGATGTCAGAAAGAGTGGACAATTATTTTTATATGTATAGTAAAATTTCAGAAGATCTGTGAGTTTAAAGCACAACAAATGAAATTATTCTTGACTCTTGTCTATGACTAACATTCTTGAGATTTCGATGTGAAAAGACATTTTATTAATAATTTGGCAATTTGTTTCATATTTTTAAAAAAGTAAATTTTCACAGGCTCCCCATGAACCAGCTCCCATAACTTACCCAGAAGAAAACCAAACAGATTCCAACGTTTTTGAGAACACTGTGCAAGATACTAACCCTGACGATGAAGTTGTCCAACCTGCAGTTGAGCCGCCGGATGAAATTGAACAGGAACCTGAACCAGAACCAGAACCAGAACCCGAGCCTGAGCCAGAACCCGAGCCAGGTATTTATTTTTAAGGTCAATAGAGACAACAAGGGTCTGTTTATATGGAAACCAGGCTGGCCCACTTAGTGAGAAAGCCCGACAAGCGTGTTGAATTTCTCTTGTGTTTCATCCCGCTTGTCAGGACAATTTTGTTATTTTGACATTATTTTGACAGTTGTTAAAAATAAGCCCGGCTCACGTAATATACAACATAGATTGCGTTTGTACAGAGTTCGCATTGGTAACATTAGTTTCTGTATTTTGCGCAGGCATGCATGCATGCATGAACTTTCGTCTGAAAGTCAACGGAATAATTGATGGAAGATATAGGTCACATTCACCACAATTCTTCTATTTTGAAACCCCAGAAAGATTGATTTACGAAACTTGATTAAACATCGATTTTTACCACCGTATACCAGTAGTAGAACAGTTTACTGTACATGTACTGTATCTGCTGCGCTTGCCTGTCTGGGACGCCACGTCTTCCCAAATATATAAAACGTTATTGTTATCGTCATGCAAATTATGAAACAACGAATACCATAGTTACGACTGCGGTTTTATGTGAAATAATTATACTTAATAATTATTATCATTCACTTTATAGTATTCTCAATTTTTATTGGTTAATTTACATGCAAATAGCCTAACTGTGTGCAAATGTCGATCAGGTGCAAATAACTGGTGCAAATACTTCATTGAGCATGCGCACTTTGAAAATGATTCGTCTGCTTTTGGCAACAAAAAATTTTATTGCTTCATCTGAAAGAGCATAGAAAAATAAGTCGATTGGCCGTTTAATGCTCTATTCTATCTCATCTAGTTCCGAAGTTATACGCAAAAATGTGCAAAATATAAGTTGCTGATTCAGCACAAGGTGTGACGTCATTGGTTGGGTAAGTATGTTTAATGAATACTAAACTGAAGCATAGCTCAGTTATTATGGACCCAAATCAAATGAAATTTTGCATACTGATTGTACATGAGGGAGACGCATTGAAAAACACTTCCAATGTTGTAGCCAAGGTAACAATGTCGTTCTCAGGCCCCTTGCGCCAATTTTATAAAACGGCTTTATTCATGGTACTTATAAGAATAAAGTAATATCAGAAGTATGTGTACCATACCTATGCATGCCAAAAGTTTACTTGCATGATAATAATTCGAAAATGACATACACATAGATAAATGCAACTAGTTATTCAAAATCAGTGTAAGGGGCCTGGGAACGACTGTGTTGCCTTGACAACTAAATTAGAAGTATTTTCCCATGCGTCTCATCATGTACTATCTGTATGCAAAATTTCATTTGATTTGAGCCAACAATAACTGAGCTATGCTTCAGTTTACTATTCAATAAACATACTTACCCTACCAATGATGTCACACGTTGTGCTGAATCAGCAATTTATATTTTGCACATTTTTGCGTATAACTTCGGAACCAGATGAGATAGAATAGAGCAGTAAACGGCCAGTCGGCTTATTTTTTCATGCTCTTTCAGATAAAGCAATAAAACATTTTATTGCCAATGTTCTTTAAATTAAAAAATATCAACTTCTCTTTTGAAATGTCAACATGGCTCGTTTGCCGAGCTATCGGAAAGCGATTTGTCACCTTTACTGGAGGAAAAGGATGCCGAAAACACAAAAAAGGCAACAAAAGTGAAATTGTTTATATATATTATGCTTGATTTTATAAAAATCACAATTTTTGTGCTGCAATACAGTGTCAGACTATGGTCAGACTAAATTATACCTTTTCCGTTGACTGTTCTAGTATATTTGTTATTAAACTTGTGCCAATAATAATCTGTAAATGATAAAACAATTATTGAACTTGGTTGTCGCAAAATATCGTGATTTATCAGTGGCTCACAGATCAATTATTTGCCTCTGCCTTCGGCATCTTCAAATAATTGATCTGCTCGGCACTGATATATTCTAAGGTTGCATGTTGTGAACAACTGTTGTAGTGATGATTATTTTGCACACTGCTAGAACCCAGTAGATACACAATGAAAGCTGGGCGTACAATTTGTGCTAAATTAATTCCGAGATTTCGCTAACACCATCAGATGTTTGTGCATCAATGAATGGGGTTTGATAGTAGAACTTGGAACATTTACCTTATCTTGCATCTCACGTTGTAACTATGTTTATTACATTTTATTTGTTTATTATTATATTATTTAATTTTGATATATCTATGCCCTTGTGATACAAATCATGAATGGGTGTTGGGAGATTCTATGGCACAGCAACTATACTGCACGCGTACCTTTATCTCTGCGACTAGGATTTGATTATTTCTTCTAGTTAACCCATACTGGAAGATTAGGGTAAACTGTAGACAAAACTGATAAAACTGTGCAATATATATATGACTATATTTTATAGTTTAGTTTGGATTGGTTTGGTTTAGTACTGTATACAGTAGCTAATTTAACTGATTCAGCTTGTTCAGAACCTCGATCTATATGCAGGATGCCATATTTTCTTTTAAAATTTCCAGAGCCATCCGGTCCTGTGTCATGGGCTGCGATGGCGGCTAGCAAGACACCCAAGCCAAATTCTCAAGGTTCGCGCCCATATGAAGCAAAGAAGACATCTGTGGTAAGTTTACATGGCTATATATATATATATATATATATATATATATATATATATATATATATATATATATATATATATATATATATATATATATATATATATACATATATATATATACAGTATATTAATTAATATTTATGTATATATAAAGTTCATAAATTTAAGTACAAAGCAGATATTTTCATATTTGGCTTTTGCCCTGTGGGCTTTTGTAAACATGATGTGTTGATACTATACTAAGACCTGACACAATATAACGCGCTGCATATTTGCACACTGCTAGAACCCAGTAGATACACAATGAAAGCTGGGCGTACATGTTGTGCTAAATTATAACTCCAAGATTTCGCTAACACCATCAGATGTTTGAACATCAATGAATGGGGTTTGATAGTAGAACTTGGAACACTTTCCTTTTTTTATACATGTCAAGCTGTGCAGTGTACTGAGTGTAGTTTTGTGTATAGTACAGAATGTGGAAAAAATCATCTATGTGCCAAGGTTTAAAAGAAGCATCGATAACCACATTTAGATGGGAAATCCATTTTTACATCATAACAAGCTGTATTTTTAAGCTCTTTGAATCTTTCCAAAGTATAATATACTTTTCTATAGCGTCAATGAATGGAATTTAATACTTGGAATATTTTACTTTTTCCTGCATGTTATAAGTTATTAGGGTAAATAGCTGGTGAACGTGCACAAGATGCAGATTAAAACTCTGGATGCAAGTCCTGGGTGCAAGTACCGAGTGGAAAATTATATTCTTATCGGCCATATTGGGATCTTCCTGTGAACGAGGCATTTCATGGGCAAACATAATGCACACATACAGTATCAGACAAAATATAAAAAAATTGTTTCTCAATGCTTACGAATTTTAAATTCAGTTAATTATGTTTGTGAGTGTGCATCCACACCGGGCAAGCTGAAACGTTATCCTCACCACAGTGGGGAATCGAACCCCCGACCTTTGGGATACAGTAGAGTTTTGAGGCCGAGCAATCAGTCCAGGTATACATATATATGTCAATGGTATTTAATAATTATTCGCCGAAGGCGAGGTGATTATCGAGGTGAATATTTCCCGATAATCACCGAGCCTGAGGCGAATAATTGTTTTAGTATTTTTACACAAGTCTTTTGTGTTTTTTTTTGGGACTGAATTTATTTTAATTCCGCTTATTTCTTTATCAGTAACTTTCACAAAACGGCTAGCCGCCATTTTGCAAATTTCAGTTTTGTTATATTCACCTGCAGGTGAGTATAACAGCTTATACGTCAAATTTGACCAATCAACTTGTAGGATTTGTTATATTCACTTGTGCAAAAATACTAAATACTGATATTCTGCTTCAGATACCTTCAGCTCATGAACCTGCCATGAAATCACAATCACAACGTATTAGTGCAGGCAACCGAGGAAGTATTGGATCAAATAATGCTGGATCTAAGGATCGTTTTAGTGGCAGGAATGCTCCTGATAATTGTCAAGTCTTCATTGGTAATCTTCCAAATGGCCTTGGTGAAAAACAAGTACAAGATGTGTTTTCAAGTAAGTGTTTCGAAGCTATGTTTTATACACACCGCGTATTATATAGCTGGCTTCAGCCTTGCTCCAACGCTTGCAATGTGATAAGTTGTTAGATAAGCACTGCTTCGGTGATTTGCCGTACTGCATGTATAGGGGATTTATAGATGGAACTTTCGAGTGAAATTTTTCTACATTTATATTAGACCTATAACCAGGAGCAGTTGCGAAAAATGCAAGTATCAGTCCTCTGCATGACAGGAATCGACTCTGCGGCCCTGCGATTCCTGTTGTCGAGCTCTATAAACCATCTTAACTGTTTATCTTAACCGTTGTCGAGCTCTATAAACCACAAGTATACATGTGTAAACTCTAAGGTGAAGCAATGTTCGGTGTATGAGTAAATATCAGGATTTTGGGCATCTTGCTTGATATAAACAATAGACCTTTCTCCTTTTGAGTGAAATTTTGATCTAGACAAGTCTGGACAAAAATTTCATCACAGCTTGAAAGAGCATCACAAAATTAGTAATATTCCGAAGTTTCGTTCGAAATGTTGTAAAATGCGGATAATATAGCCTTGCGAAATTTGCCATTTTTCAGTCATTTTGTATTGCAAACGGGAAATTGATAATCAGTTTGATCATCTGATTATCAATTTCCCGTTTGTAATGCAAAATGACTGAAAAACGGCAAACTTCGCAAGGCTATATATTATCCGCATTTTACAACATTTCGCAACGAAACTTCGCAATATTACTAATTTTGTGATGCTCTTTCAAGCTGTGATGAACTTTTTGTCCAGGCTTGTCTAGATCAAAATTTCACTCATAAGGGGAAAAGTCTATTGTTGAAAGCATTTGTAGATGGAAATTTCGACTGTCGATGGAAATGTCTTTCTGTAGCTCAATTAGAGCGCTGCACCGGAATCGCAGGGCCGCATGCAAGTTCTATTCCTGCCAGAGGGCCGAGAGTCGCATTTTTCGCAACTACTTGTGGTCAGGTCTAATAAATGTATAAAAATTTCACTCAAAATTTCCATCTACAAATCCCTTCAACAATTAGTTATATCGAATGAGATGCCAAAAATCCTGCTGTATAGTAGATGTCCAGAATCTGCTAGTGCTGTATAGCAATGCTTGCGCAAATATTTAGATGGGGTAAAAACTGCGCGAGATATATATACACATGTTGTTTTACTTTCACAGTAAAATTCAAAATACAGTAGTATAGGGGTGCGCTGTAGGAGATAGTGTTTACCTCAACCTGAATCAGTTCTAAACAAGGAAATATATCTTCGTTCATCAAATAAAGTTGGATCGGGGTGTGCGAAGTGTCAGATTTTCCTTAAGCCATGAATATTCTCCTTACCGCAAAGCCTCGTTTATTTCATGCCTTTTCGTCAAATTCAAGTTGTGTAACTATGAACTTCGTGGCTTGAGTACTCAATGGCAGTTCATTGTATGAAGATTTTGTCAACATTAGTAGCGGGTAGTGGTTTCCAATTTGTGGAAATATGTTCCAACAAAATGACTTGTAATGATCGTTTTTATGCGTGATGATAAGTGCCTAGAGACTGATTACAACTTTGAACTGGGCTGTATTTTACATATAGATAGTTTAGATCACGACAGAAGTTACCTTACTTTTCAAATGCGCAATAGTAGAACCCAGTAGAATACATTTATATATCCGCTGGGTGTACAAGTTGTGCAAAAGTAACTCCTGGACTTTGCTATATAGACATCGATGATCCCTAGACATCGATGATTCCTAGACATCGATGATTCCTAGACATCGATGATTCCTAGACATCGATAATTCATGGACATCGATGATTCGTAGACATCGATGATTTCTAGACATCGATGATTCCTAGACATCGATGAATTGTGTTTGATAGTAGAACTTGGAACGTCCATATAAAACCTAGGCTGTATACGAGAGAGGTGCAGTTGTGTTATTCTCATCAGAACCAGTCATGAACACGTACGACCTGGGGGAGTAGTAATATAGGGGCCGTTCGACCCTTATTTTTGCGGTAGTGGAGAGTGGTGGAGGTGGTGGAGT